TAAGACATTATTATATAAGCAAGTAAAACCTGAATATTAAAGACATAAAGAAATTACAATGAATACATAAGTAATAGACCAAAAGACAATTTTACCTTGAGCTTAGGCCCTGTGGGTCTGCAAGAACATACTTCTTTGAATAGTGTTGATTTTTCCATGACCATCTTCCATTTACCAGTTAATGGATTTGGAATTTCATCATTGTAGTATCCTTGCAGGAAGTCAATGGCAGCTTTACTCCAAGGTTTAGAAAAATCTTCATTGTTCCACAGACAAACTGATCAAAAAAGAAATCCACAGAGATTTAAAACAGAACAAAAACAAAAGACACACATATATATATATATACGCACACAAAAAAAACTTAAAACATCTATAAAAAAAACTCCACTAAAAATTTATTTCGGCAGGTCAGTTTTTAAAGTAAAAACTAACCTGGTGAAATAGATTCATTATCATATTTTCCGTTTTTTTTCTTTTTTGGAGATGTGTTACTTTTTTTCCCTTTGATGAACATCATATTGCTCTAATGCAATACATTGAGCTCTCTTCACAGATCTATTATTTTTTATTAAAAAGACCTACTTATATTATCCTTTCCACTTACAAATTTATTACTAAATATTTATTTATTATTTATTTATTTATTTTCATTATTTTTTTTTTTATTTTCATTATTTTTATTTATTTTCATTATTTATTTATTTATTTTCATTATTTATTTATTTATTTATTTTCATTATTTATTTATTTATTTATTTTCATTATTTATTTATTTATTTATTTTCATTATTTATTTATTTATTTATTTATTTTCATTATTTATTTATTTATTTATTTTCATTATTTATTTATTTATTTATTTTCATCATTTATTTTCATTATGTATTTATTTATTTATTTTCATTTTTATTTATTTATTAATTTATTTTCATTATTTATTTATTTATTAATTTATTTTCATTATTTATTTATTTATATTTTTATTTATTTATTTATTTTTTATTTTATTTATTTATTTTTATTTAGTTATTTTTTATTTATTTATTTATTTTTATTTATTATTTATTTATTTTTTATTTATTTAGTTATTTTTATTTATTTATTTATTTTTATTTATTTAGTTATTTTTATTTATTTATTTTTTTTTTATTTATTTATATTTATTTATTTATATTTATTTATTTATATTTATTTTTTATTTATTTATTTTATTATTATTTATTATTATTATTAATATTTATTATTTATTAATTATTGTTATTATTATTTATTATTATTATTATTTATTTATTAATTATTATTTATTATTATTATTTATTTATTAATTATTATTTATTATTATTATTATTATTTATTGTTATTGTCTATTAATTATTATTATCATATATTTCATTTCACTCCCAGGTAAGGCAATAAAAGCCCTAAGATTCACTGAGAAGGAAATACATAGATATAAGAATGAAACAGGTTTTAGCGTTGAAAGAAAATGACTGACAATATGAAGGCAGTTCCATAAGTGACATTTACAGATGAAGAAACTGTCAGCACACAATTTATTGTTACAACAAGCAATTATGATACCTATCTGCCAATCTAGTACTGCACTTTAACTCATGAAGTTGAGATAGCAAAGACGAGGATAATAATAATAATAATAATAATAATAATAATATGTATGTATGTATGTATGTGTTTGTGCATATATAATTAAAATAATGGAAATTTTGCTAAATGCATTCCACAAGTCCTACCCATGATATCATGGAGTAAATTAACGGCTTTTATTTTACAGCTGCATATGTTATTTAAGATTTGATTTTATCTGTTACGATTCATCAGATAAAATAAATTCACATGTTTAAATATTGGCATTGAAAATATCATAAAATGATATGAAAAATAAAAAAAAACAAATTTTTGTGAATGGATGAATAAAAAGAAATTTGATTCAACTTACTGAATTTTCCCCCAGGGACAAGAACTCGATGAATCTCTTTCAAGCTGGCATCTGATGCAAACCAGTGAAAACTTGTGTAGCTACAACTAACTGAAATATCAAATACAAGACATTGATTAACAGGCTTATCTCACAAGCCATTGTCAGTGACAATAGTTTCCTAGTACATTCTCTGGCTTTCAACAAGTTTAAACTTGGCTCTGTAAATTTCAGACTCCATTATTTTAGTGCCAGATTTAGCTAAGCTTAGTAAATATTTAATTACCTGTTTCAGGTGGAGGGGATAGTCTTGCAAGACATTTCACTTGAGTTGCAAATAGTCAGCAAGCTAATCTTGCAGAGTATTACTACTTTAGTCAATTGAGCCGCTCTGGGTACTGGGGCCATTGTGGAAATTGGCACTTGCGACAGAATAATCAACATTATTTTTCAATGGCGAATACCGTGCCAATTTATTATGAGAGTCTATCAAGACCAAACACCCAGGAAAACTGACAAAAGGGGTCTTGTTTCATCAGGACAATATTTTGCTGTATTTGTCAAACTTCTTGAAGCATGGATAACTTCTTTCACTGTACCATCTTTGAATTTATGGCCTATTACTGCTCCTATTTCTATCGTCAAAGAAATTGAGACAAGCAGGACACCATATGATATATATATATATATATATATATATATATATGTATTACAATGAATCATTCATACAAAAAGTAGATTAGTAAAGTTAATGATATAAAATGGCAAAAACTCTTTGCAAACAAAATTTTAAAGTTGCATAATGTCTTGTTTTAATCTGCTAGTACTTTCAACTGTACACACAGTCATCCTCAGGCATGGAAATTATTAAAAAAAGACCTTATAAAACTGTAGTTATTAAAAACAATGATCATAACATTCATCAAGTGGTTCGTAGGTTAATGCAAATTTTGTTTGCAAAGAATTTTTGTCATTTTATATCATGAACTTTATTAATCTACTTTTTATGAATGATTCATTGTAATTTAAATTGAACTGCACCACATATTTGATATATATATATATATATATATATATATATATATATATAAAATAAGGGATTGTGGGTGAGGGTGTTTATTATAGGAAGATGCATAATCAACCTAAAGGAAAGAAGTGGAGGAGGAAGTCAAATGTGGACATATGCTGAGACGAAAATTTGTTGCATTCCCATTGAGAAAAAAGTTGCAAAGCCTGAGTGACTCAAAGCTTTATTCCTCTCTCCTCAAACTACATCATGAGTTGTAGTTGAAAAGAAAAAGAAAAAAAAGACAGAAAATCTTTTTACCTGACCAGAGGAAAGAATAAAAAATGTTAACTGAGCAATATCAGAGTAAATAATTTCCACTGATAGAAAAAGGTATTAAAAATTGTGGATAAGCAGGCAGTATAAAAAGCTGAAAGCAGAGAGGAAGAACTTTTTCTGTTGTTGTGTTGGAACAACATTTTGCGGGAGACAGTTCATGAGACTTGATCAGAGTCAAGTTGGAGAGGAGGAGAAAATTACAATGATGACTAGTCAAACAAATTGACAAATTCTTTTAAATCTTCGGGTGAAGAATCATGAGTAAAGGCACCAAGAGTGAGTTCGATTCTTTAATTCTTCAGCACAAATTACATGAATAAAAAATATTTCACATACCTTGCTTATGAGGTAAAGATATTTACAGACAAGGAGGTTACTAGTGCATTGTGGATAGCAAAAATGTCTATATAAATCAGTTGTGGGAATCCATTTGTGTTGATTTTTTTATGCTACCCAGACACAAGCACTGTACCTACCAGAGATGAAAGACAAGTTAAGAACAACAAAAGATTGGTAGCAAACAGAGAGATCCAATGCTTGTTTCTCTTCTTGTATGAATTTAGGAGAAAGTTCTTCATTTAATTCACATTTCAGTAAATGTGGGGGGCTCACTTTTACAGCAATCTTCTTCTAAATAAAGGTTTTATTTGATAGTTTCTACTTACTCTGATTGAAGAATCTGGAAAAGGTAGATCTTCTGCAAGGCAAACCTTAGTTGCAATGTTAGGACAATTCATCTTTGCTTGTTCTAGAAAACCCTCCATTGCGTCTGTGGCAAGGTATTTCACAGACTAAAATACAAAAAAAATTAAATAAATAGAATTAAGATGATATTTTTGCAAAGAAAAAACTAAAAAGCACTTTCTATCGATTCAAAAGTTACCTCCCTTAATAAATCTCTGTACGAGTTATTCCCCCTGTTGAAATAGCACTTAACATATTTCACTAAAAAACCAATACAATTTTTTTTTTATCAAGTTCATCCCAAGCAACTATCTAGCTCCGTCTTTGTCGGGTTTATTAAACGGAATGATGGGCTGTTGAGGAAGTCTTCTTTACGGTCTTTTACTCTCAAAAAGGCTTGCTTTTCGGCCAATATTCTGACTTTATTGCTAATGCCAAACATTGTGGAGATTTCTTCAGATTCTGTGTTAATATCCTCCACATAAGCAGGAACCTTTTTATAGAATTTAGTGACTTCCTCTGAAAATCTTTCTGTACGCTCTAAGGCTCATTGCATACAACTTCATTTTGTCACCCATCCGAAAATTATTTTTCAGTTTTCCAATATCTATTGATAATTTCTTCTGAAATAAATTCTTTCTTTTTCTAAACCTTAATTCATTTAAAATGCCTATAAACTCTTTTTCAAACTCCAAAAATTCTTTCACAGCAGTGGAGGTTGGGTATTTTTCAGTTTTGAACAAAGCTTTATCAGTGTCAATACCATTGTTTGCAATATTGTTTAGAGCAAAAAAGGCCTTCCATCTCATTCTACATAAAATGACTATTTTGCTTAGCATGGTAATCATGCACTCAGTGTCACGTTTATAACGTCAACCTTCCGTCCTTAGGACAATTTCACTGTACACCGTTTTTTTTTTTTATCTTTTTACCTCTCGTCTCGCTGCGACTTCTTTTCTTGTTACTGTATTTATTTTTATTTTTTTTTTTATCTGTTCCTTTCTCTTTCTTTTGTGTCTTCTAGCATAGATTATGCTTCTTTTAGCTTTAATTCCTTTTTTTTATCTTTTTTTTACCGTTATTATCTACTCTCGGCTACGTGATAAGCCACGTGAATTGTGTTTTCTTTTGGCGGGATCTTCAGAGTTCTTCTTGGTACGGTACATGCATGCACGCACCCCTTGCTCGCCGCTTCGCCTTTCCATATAACTTTGGTTTGGTATGTTTTATTTAATTCTTCTTTTTCCTTTTATTCGCTTTTGTATTGAAAATGTATTGTTGTAGCGCTACAAGTACTTTTTTGACTCTTTATTTCCGAGATGCTCATTCAACAAGCTTGTACTTTTCGAATCCAGAATTATTTGATATTTAGAAGGAATATGGGACCTTTCTATGCAGACTTTGCTCTGTCGTTTAGGCATGCTCTTTTACCATGTCTACCATTGTGAATTGCCTCTTTCTGGCTCTCAACGCTGGGCTGCCTTTCCGAATATGGTGCCGTCATATTCAACATAAATACGACACGTGCTTCGGTGTTCTTAGCCACCTTCTCCACTACCGTCTGCCTTGTGGCTGCTTGTAGTAGTAGTTAGCTTACTTTTTTCTTTCTTTGTTATCACTTGCTTCCTTCTCTGTCACTTGTCTCCCCTTTCTTCTTTGTCTCTTTCGTCGCAGTGGACTCAGTTTTTGTGTTCATTTTTCTTTCAGATTTTTTACCTGATTCACAGAATAAAATCTTTCGTTTTCCAATGAGATTCGTCCGTGTTTTGTGAATTTGAGTTTACACTGGCTGTCTAAAAGCAGCGTGTTTTTTAGCATGCTGTCCAGGGCAGCACAGTAAAAAATCAAATTTTATTCGCACGTGGCGCGAGGTCTTCCGTAATGCAGTGTGACCAGCTTCCTCTCCCATGGCTCCTTGCGGATTTCTCTACTGGACTGCTGCCGGCGTAAAATTAATTTGACAGCTATTAGCCTTTTCAACGACCCGTCACGCACCGGCACTCTTTGTCTGCCCTTCTCTGCAACAGGTCCCAGCACGCTTCAGCAAAGGCCATGGACCAAAAGTCCGTTGTCTCTAATAGAACGCGCTCCAGGTTCTCTTCTGCCTCATCTAAGGCCTTGGCTGTCCGTGCTGAACTGGAGATGGCTAAAGCAGGCCTGCTCTTCGTGGAGAGAGAGAATAAACTGCGCGAAGCAAAGGCTAAAATGGAGTCTGAAGAGAAAACTCTAGAGGCTCAAAGGGAGATAGCTCTCAAAGAAGCCGCACTAAAGGCCTTTGAAGAGTGTGTCTCGCTTAGTAAGGAAAAATCCAGCATTCACCTTGACCAGACTCCTGCCGATCCCATGCAGCGTACGAGAGAATATGTGGCCGAACAGACGGCTCAACTCAACTCACAACCTGCCGCCCCGCAATTGGTACAATCATCCGCCCTGCAACACATACGCTCTCCTGCATCTCAATTCGATCAGCCCACCAACTCAGAAGCCTCCTTCCGCTACTTCCCCGATCCATCTGATGATCATCGGAGGAGGTGCTCAACTGAAAACCGCCATGACCATTCCAGTGACCTAACGCGTTACTTCGCCCGGCGAGAATTACTTCAAGCCAGTATGCTGAAATTCTCGGACAGACCTAAGGACTATCGAGCATAGAGACGTTCATTTGGCAACTCCATTGTCGACCTGCATTTGACACCGAGTGAAATGGACTTGCTTGTGAAATGGCTCGGCCCTGCCTCCACTGAGCATGCCAACCGTTTAAGGACAGCCTACCTTAACTGTCCTGAGAAGGGCCTGCAAGAAATATGGAAGTGTTTGGAAAAATGCTACGGGTCCCCTGAAGCTATCAAAGACTCACTCTTCGAAAGGATCCATAGGTTTCCAAGGGTAACCAGGGACTACGATAGACTGAGGGAGCTAAGCGACCTCCTCACCGAACTCCAAGCAGCTAAGGATGATGGTGATCTCCCTGGTCTTGCCCTCCTAGACACTGCTCGGGGTCTCAGGCCTATAGTGGAAAAGCTTCCACCTACACTACGGGACCAATGGACCTCCCATGGCACGGCATACAAGCGAAAACATCAAGTGCCATTTCCTCCATTCTCTGTGTTTACTAAATTCATCGAACAACAAGCAGAGGACAGGAACGACGCCAGCTTTCGTCTTACCACAGATACTTGGCCCTCACAAAACATGGACCGAGCAACCACACCACATCGAACAGAAATTTCAGTCCACAAGACTCAAATTGCGTCTAAGGAAATCAAAGAGATATGCACCATCCATAACTTGCCTCACCCTCTTCGCAGTTACTGGGCATTTAGAGGTAAACCTTTTCCAGAGAGGCAAGCCTATCTAAGACAACACAACATCTGTTTCCGATGTTGTTCTACGCATGTCAACAAGGACTGCAGGTTCAAGCCTAAATGCGCTGAATGTGGCAGTGAAAGCCACAACACTGCTCTTCACCCTGGACCTGTACCACAAACGACACCCATCAGAGCCATGCCAAACCATGGCGGGGAGAACAACGATGTTACAGCCCACTGCACACAGGTTTGTGGTAGCAACCTAATCGACAAATCCTGTTCGAAAATTTGCCTGGTGATGGTACATCCCCAAGGCCAGAGAAACAAGGCAGTCAGGATGTATGCCGTGATCGACGAACATAGCAACAAGTCACTTGCTCGGCCAGAGTTCTTTGAGTTGTTCAGCGACTTCATCCCCACATCATCATATTCACTTAGGACCTGCGCTGGAGTCATAGAAATGGTTGGGAGAAGAGCCTATGGGTACAGAATTGAATCCATAGATGGACGCACCAGCCTGCCCTTCCAACATTAATCGAATGCGCTGATGTGCCGGATAATCGCTCGGAAATCCCAACACCAGAAGCAGCCCTTCATCACAAGCATTTGGCTAGCATAGCAGCAGAGATTCCTAACTTGGATCAGCAGGCCCCTATTTTGCTTCTCCTGGGTCGTGACATTATCGACGTACATAAGGTTCACGCCCAGATCAATGGTCCTCACAGCGCCCCTTATGCGCAGAAACTAGACATAGGCTGGGTGATAGTGGGGAATGTATGCCTCAGGGGAACGCATAAACCATCCACTGTAGGCACTTCTTCACCAGCACCCGAGAAGGAAGCCGCCCAACAAACTTTGGGCCTTGTTCCAACACATTCCGGACCTAGGAAAGATACTGCCAGAAAGAATTGGGCGGCTCTGTGTTTCAATTGACTCAGGAAGACGACCGACTGGCCTACTCCATAGAAGACAGAATCTTCCTTGATATCATGGAAAAGGGCGTGAGGAAGAATAGTCACTGCAGTTGGGTAGCGCCTCTTCCACTCAAGCCATCCAGACTTCGACTTCCTAACAACCGACAACAAGCAGTCAGTCGGCTCAACTCACTGACTCGCCAATTCAGGAGGAAGCCGCGTTTGGCAAAGGACTTCTTCTCCTTCATGGAAAAAATCTTCGCCGATGCCCGGGCAGAAGTGGCCCCTCCACTCAAACAGGAAGAAGAGAGATGGTACTTGCCTATGTTTGGCATTTACCACCCGAAAAAAACAAACAAAATCAGAGTTGTCTTTGACTCCAGTGCCCAATATAATGGAGTATCATTGAATGACGCCCTATTAACCGGGCCAGATCTAAACAACAACTTGATAGGAGTCCTGATCCGTTTCCGAAAGGAGCCCGTGGCAATCATGGCTGATGTCGAGCAAATGTTTTACTGTTTTCTCGTGAAGAGAGAGCACAGAGACTTTCTGCGGTTCCTGTGGTATAAAGACAATGACCCTGATAAGGAAATAGTCGAATATAGGATGAAAGTCCATGTATTCGGCAACAGTCCATCACCGGCAGTGGCAACTTACTGTCTCAGGAAATCTGTCGGAGGGACACACCCGGAGTGTAGCCCTGCCGTTGTTCAGTACGTCCACCGTGACTTTTATGTGGACGATGGACTAAAGTCAGTGCCTACTGTAGGAGAGGCCATCTCCTTGCTGAAGGAAACCCGAAATGTTCTGGCAGCATCCAACTTGAGACTGCATAAAATAGCTTCCAATAAAAAGGAGGTTCTGGACGCTTTCCCTACAGGAGACCTCGCCAGTGACATCAAAGACTGGACCTCAATGAAGAGGCTGTACCGATGCAACGTAGCCTGGGACTTGATTGGGACCCAGAGAGTGACTGCTTCACATTTCGAGTTGCAGATGAAAAGAAGCCTTATACACGCAGAGGCGTCTTGTCAACAATCAACAGCCTCTATGACCCTCTTGGGTTCGTGGCTCCAGTTACCATCCAAGGCAAGTCCATTTTACGGGAACTCACACCCGATAAGGTTGATTGGGATACTCCTTTACCTCCTCAGAAGGAGCAACTTTGGACTACATGGCGCGATTCCCTTCAGGAACTCCACAACCGCCAGATACCAAGGACTTACATCACTAAGTCTCCCACTGCAGCATCTTCCAGGCAGTTGTGTGTCTTCTAGGACGCATCGACTAAGGCAATTGCTGCTGTAGCCTACCTCAGTCACCTATCTTGATGGTACTTGTGAGGTGGGTTTCATCATGGGGAAAACGAAATTGGCACCGCATCCTGAGACCTCTGTGCCCAGACTGGAACTCTGTGCTGCCGTCCTGGCGGTTGAATTGGCAGATATGATTCTCTCAGAGCTTGATATGCAAGTGAACTCTACCATTTTTTTTTACTGATAGCAAGGTTGTTCTTGGCTATATAGGCAATGAACATCGCCGCTTTTACGTCTATGTCAGCAATCGAGTTCTGCGCATCCGTAGATCATCTCAGCCTGAACAGTGGCATTACGTACCCACGGATAAAAACCCAGCTGACTGTGGAACCAGATCAATTCCTGCCAACCAAATGTCTACTACGGCCTGGCTCAACAGTCGCTCTTTCCTCTCCAACTCCTTGTTCAACCGTTTTGAATCCAATTCCTACTGCCTTATCAATCCTGAAAACGACGTCGAAATCCGTCCAGTAGTGACAACCTTCACCACTCACTCATCCCCCGTGCTTCTCGGTGCTCATCGCTTCAGGAAGCTCTCCACATGGGCGGCACTTACACGGGCTATCGCTCGTTTGATCCACATCTCTCAGTCATTTAAGAAAGAGACTAGACCGAAGGACTGCAAGGGCTGGCATTACTGTCGAGCGCCATTTCCGGTAGAAACACTGGCGCAATCTAACGACGTGATCCTCGGCTTGGCGCAAAGAGACACGTACGCTTTGGAACTCTCTTGCTTATCAGAGCATAGGGATCTTCCCAAGAGCAGTGCACTCAGGAAATTAGATCCCTTCGTGGACGACCAAGGTCTCCTCAGAATCGGAGGTCGCACACGAAGAGCAGGACTAGACCGTAGCGAGATGCACCCTGTTATCTGGCAAGCATCATATAACGTCCCTGCTCGTTAGGCACCACCACAAGCAGGTACATCACCAGGGACGTCACTTCACAGAAGGCGCAGTCCGTGCTGCTGGATTGTCGGTGGAAAAGAAGTATCAGCAAAACCATCCACTACTGCGTAATTTGCAGAAAGCTCCGTGGACCTATGCAGGTCAAAGGATGGCAGACCTACCAGAAGATCGCCTATCTATGGAACCTCCCTTCACAAATGTGGGGCTCGATGTTTTTGGGTCTTAGCCCATTATTTCACGCCGAACCAGAGGTGGCTTGGTCCACAGCAAGCGGTGGGCCACCATATTTACATGCATGACCACAAGAGCTGGTCACATCGAGGTCTTGGAGTCACTCGATACATCAAGCCTGATAAACGCTCTCAGGCGCTTCTTTTCCATCCGGGGTCCCGCAAAACTTATCCGTTCGGACCAAGGCTCCAATTTTGTCGGAGCAAGAAAAGAACACAAAATCAATTCCACCCTAGACACATGTGCTGTGGGTAAACACCTCTCTGACTATGGTTGTACCTGGTTATTCAACCCTCCGCATGCACCACACATGGGTGGAGCGTGGGAAAGAATGATAGATATAGCCAAGAGGATTCCCAATTCCATGTTGCTGCAGCATGGAAGTACCAAACTAACCCATGAAGTGCTCACCACCTTTCTGGCTGAGGTGGCTGCCATTGTTAATAACAGACCACTTGTCCTGGTATCCACAGACCCAGAGGACCCAGTTCTGCTGACACCTTCAACACTCCTCACCCAAAAGATTGGCTCTGTTCCTGCACCGATGGGTGACTTCACCACAGAGGATGTTTCTAGACAACAATGGAGGCATGTTCAACATCTTGCGCAGACGTTTTGGAACCGGTGGAAGGGCCAGTACCTCCCTCTTTTGCAGGCCCGAAGCAAATGGACTTCCAGCATTCCAAACCTGAAACCTGGCAGCGTGGTTCTTTTGAAATACCAGGATTCAAAGAGAAACGAATGGCCCTTGGGACTGATTACCCATGTCATTCCTAGCCAAGATGAAAGGGTGCGACAGGTCGAAGTGAAAATTCACAAAAATGAGCGTGCAAAATTGTTCCTGAGACCTGTAACAGTACTTCTCCTCCCCCCTCTTCCATCTGAACCTATCTGTTAAAATGGACCTTCTTCCCCCTCTTTGATCCCCTCCGTATAACCACTTTCCTTGGCATTTTGCTCTCCCCTCTCCATGCTTTAATTTTTTTCACAGGACTCTTCCCTGCCAGATTCATGACCAATAAACATACAAACGTAAAAAACAAACTTAAACTAGAAACTTTCACACGAACTTTTGAGATTTTTCACAATCTCAGGGGGGGGGAGTGTCATGTTTATAACGTCAACCTTCCGTCCTTGGGACAATTTCACTGTACACCGTTTTTTTTTTTTTTTTTTTTTTGCTTGTTTGTTTATCTTTTACCTCTCGTCTCGCTGCGACTTCCTTTTCTTGTTACTGTCTTTATTTTTTATTTTTTTATTTTTATCTGTTCCCCTCCCTTTCTTTGTGTCTTCTAGCATAGACTATGCTTCTTTAGCTTTAATTCCCTTTTTTATCTCGCTTTACCATTATTATCTACTCTCGGCTACGTGATAAGACACGTGAATTGTGTTTTCTTTTGGTGGGATCTTCAGAGTTCTTCTTGGTTCGGTACCTGCATGCATGCACCCTTGCTCGCCGCTTTGCCTTTCCATATAACTTTGGTATGTTTTATTTAATTCTTCTTTTTCCTTTTATTCGCTTTTGTATTGAAAATGTATTGTTGTAGCGCTACAAGTAGTTTTTTGACTCTTTATTTCTGGGATGCTCATTCAACAAGCTTGTACTTTCGAATCCTGAATTATTTGATATTTAGAAGGAATATAGGACCTTTCTATGCAGACTTTGCTCTGTCGTTTAGGCATGCTCTTTTACCATGTCTACCATTGTGAATTGCCTCTTTCTGGCTCTCAACGCTGGGCTGCCTTTTCTAATTTGGTGCCGTCATATTCAACATAAATACGACACGTGCTTCGGTGTTCTTAGCCACCTTCTCCACTACCGTCTGCCTTGTGGCTGCTTGTAGTAGTAGTTAGCTTACTTTTTTCTTTCTTTGTTCTCACTTGCTTCCTTCTCTGTCTCTTGTCTTCTCACAGCAAAGGAGACGAACTTTAACTTCAATACAACAACAAACTTTGTCAACCATCTCCAGACTTAACGCTCACTCCCACAAAATATTCCATTCCACAAGAAGAATCTCTGGTTAATGAGCGATAACTCTATAACAATCAGTGAGTCAAGACAATACTTTTTCTATTTAATACACAAAAAACATCTGTTTAATTTTCCTATAAAAACAAATATAGCTAACTAAACCTCGTCATTTTCACACATACAGTACAGTAACTCAAATTCTTTCAGTAACACATACCAAAGAACTCTATTGTGTTTATCAACTTTTGCACTATATATTATGTATTTGTTGTGTTTATAAAAAATATTTATTGTTGAACAAATTCATAATTTCTTCTACTTGATTATTTCTGTTGTTGTTGTCTTTGTTACATTTGATATTTTAAAAATTGTAGAGGGTCAGTTTTTATTTCTATTTATAACCAATACAAATTGGCTGACCCACAATAAATTGGTGACCCCGATGTTCAAATGTGCAAAGCAATATTTTAAAAACAGCATTTTATAAGAGAAATACTTTAGTTGTCACGTTTTAAACGAAAACAATGGAAAATTCTATCAGCGAACATATTGAAGCGGCAATTTGCATCAGTCTTCCGACGTACAACCACACCAACGTTCAAGTGTGGTTTGCGCAGTTAAACGCAATTTTTAATGCAAGAAAGGTCACGTTCCAACATGCCCGTTATGCTTTTGTAGTTGAGAAACTTCCCTCAGATGTAGCATTTGAGGTAGCAGACCTCCTCAGTGAAGTGCCGGCGGAGAAACCGTATGATACTTTGAAAGATGCTATACTATACCGCACGGGCGAATCAGAGGAACGTCGGTTGCACGATTTGTTTAACAACCTTCATTTGGGACACTATAAACCTTCCAAATTGCTTAGAAAGATGAAAGCTTTACTAGGTGACAATACCATGTCTGACACAGTCCTCCGTAAACTATGGATGGATAAACTGAGCCCACAAACGTCACAAATATTAGTGTCACTCCCGGACGATTTGGACCTACAGCGATTGGCAGAAATCGCGGACGAAATATATGAGAATAAACCTCCGGGAACTGCTTCTGCGACACCGTTACAACCTATTGTCTCTTCAGTCCGTGACTCACAAGAGTTATCGAAAATTAAAGATTGTATAGCAGAGCTTACCTCACAGTTACAAGCTCTACAAACCGCTATGCATCAGCAAAATCGCACACCCAACAATTTCACTAGTCGACCACGTCCATCACATCATACTAGGCGAAGATCATGTTCCACATCCAGAAGTATATTTAATACCTGTTGGTATCATTTTAAATATGGACAACAAGCGCGGCATTGTACGAAACCGTGTAACTTCGACATAAACGCAGCTAAGGATAACAACACACAGCAGTCGGGAAACGACTATCCCGGCAACAAGTAGAGACGTTTGCTGCCGGAGGAATGCCAAAAAGTCGTCTCTTTTACATCCGAGATGAGAACTCCGGCTATTTGTGTTTAGTGGACACTGGGGCACAAATTAGTGTAATACCAGCTAAGCCTAATATGTTGACTAGAAAGACAGATTATACGTTACAAGCGGCGAATGGATCTTCAATCCAAACATATGGTGAAACCTCGTTAACCCTAAATCTGGGATTTAGGCGATCTTTTCCGTGGGTATTCACTATAGCCCAAGTTCGAACCCCAATCCTAGGAGCGGATTTCCTCGCCCACTTTAACTTGTCCGTTAATATGTCTTCCCTTTCTTTGGAGGATAAAACGACCAAAATTACAAGGAAAGGAATTACATCTATCTATACGAGCACATGTATCAGCGCAACTCTACCTGAAGCCAACGGAATGCAGGATCTGTTACAAAAATATTCTCAAATTACAACACCATTCCAGTATACAGAAACCGTTCGTCACAATGCTGAGCACCACATTGATACTACGGGCCCACCCACGCATTCATCTCCACGGCGATTGAGGCCTGATAAATATAAACTGGCGAAAGCCGAGTTTCAGCACATGCTGGACCTCGGTATAATTAGACCTTCTTCGAGTCCTTACTCATCTCCTCTTCATATGGTTCCAAAACCGAACTCAGGAGCTTGGAGACCTTGTGGCGACTTCCGGAAGCTGAATGCTACTACAATTCCGGATAAATACCCCATCCCGCACTTGCACGATTTCGCAGTGGGTCTGCAGGGCGCCACAGTCTTCACCAAACTTGATCTGGTGAAAGCATTCCACCAGATACCAGTGGCCAAGGAAGACATCCATAAAACAGCAATAACTACTCCTTTTGGCTTATACGAATTTGTGAGAATGCCATTTGGTTTAAAAACGCCGCACAATCTTTCCAACGGCTTATAGACGAAGTGCTGAGAGGTTTACCTTTCACCTTTGCCTATATTGATGACGTCCTGATCGCCAGTAGAAACAAGACTGAACATCGTCATCACGTTGAACAAGTTTTCCAGCGTCTACAGCATTTTTTGGCCTTAAGATTAACGCAGAGAAATGTATTTTTTGCTGTGCCCTCACTTAAATTTTTGGGACACGTCATTGACGAAAAGAGAATAACGCCCTTACCTGAGAAAATAGAATCTATTTCAAATTTCTCACAACCAACTTCACTCCGGCAGTTACGCCGATTCTTAGGCCTCATTAATTACTACCGGAGGTTCATTCCTGGTTGTTCCCAGATTCTGATTCCCCTCACAGATTTACTGCAACAACAGCGTCAGAAGAACTCAAAGATTACTTTGGAAGGCGAATCACTGACTGCTTTTCACAGGGCCAAAGACGCCCTTGCCAACTTTACGAAGTTATCATATATAACCGATGATGGCTCAATGATCACACTGACAACAGACGCATCAGGCGACTCCATAGGGGCTGTGCTTCACCAGAAACAGGGAGATGCTAAAAAATCTATTTCGTTCTTTTCAGTCAAGCTAAACTCATCTCAGAAAAAGTACAGCGCATTTTCAAGAGAATTACTGGCAATATACTTGGCAATCCGTCATTTCTGTCATCTTTTGGAAGGACGGAATTTTGTGGTCTA